ACTTCACAAAGTGGAACGCACTTCAAAATGGCAGCGGGGATTCCCACGAGGGAAGTTCGCGAGTGCGTGTCAAGGTGGAGTGGAATGTTTTTGTACAGTCTATGAGTGGAATGCAGCCGAGGTCAGCCGTTTAGTGAGTGAAGCAAGTGGGCAGGGCCTATGGTGAGAAGATGATTATTCGTCTTGCTCTGGAGGCACTGTTTATGCAAATATTTGTGCCCCTGTGATGTCATCTTGCACCTCCGATCCAAACGAGCCACTTTTGGAGCTTGATTAAATAAATGCTTCGTTTATAACGAGGAGGAGGTTTTAAGCTATGAAACTTGCAGGATGTTTTAATGGTACAGAGACCTCTTATATGCCAGCAGATCAAAGCAAATTTGATTTCTCATATCACGACCCCTTTAAACTACTCAATGAGTTGTTTTCTCTCATATTGTTGGTCAATTGTCGACCCTCTACTGGACTGTTATTTCTACATTATATGGATACTGTGTGTACATTATTCAATTGTTAATTATTCTTCGTCATGCATTTTGTTTCATGTATAAATATTTTATTAAAGAGTTGATCATGAAGTCAGCTAAGCTATATGGGATAATATACTACTCCTATTAGTCTCACGAAAGCCAGAGCCAATTTTGCACTGGCTTGATCCGTGGGCGTGACTTCTGAGGGGTGACTGTTAGATCTCACCTCTGTTTGACATAGAAAAGGAGGGCTTACGGCATCGCATGATGATCAGTGGAGGTGGAGTGACTGCATTTTGACACAGGCACTACTAGCTACTAAAAATAGCCTAACCTTATAAATCGAAATGTTGATGTTCTGTCTAGTGGAGCTGTTTACACGACTGCTAAGGAATGTAAGTAAATGAAAGCATCTGACATCAGCTTCCTTATTTACTTATTCAGTTTTCACCTTGTTCAGTTTTCTGACCACCCTGCAGGAAACATCAGGGCTGTGTTTCTCAAAAGCATCTTTATGCCTTGATAAATGTAGGCTAACATATATTATGTTTGCTTGTATAACATGCAAATATGTATTACTGAGTTTAAAAATTGGCACAAGTACAGTTTTCATCATAGTAAATATTGACATTGACCATGTTGACCACATTTTTAGACAGTTTGAAATCACTGGTTTCCTCAAGACAACAACAACATTAACAAAAACACACTCTTTAAAACAATTATTGGCAATAAATATAAAAAAATATTTTATTTTATAATAATAATAATTATTATTATTTAATAAAACAATTTTTTATTACTTTTTTTCCCAGAAGTTCCAACAGTTTTTGTGGAAAGTTTGGAATTTTAGAAAATTAAAGATACACAAATATTTTATAATTAAAAATAACAATAATGAACACTTAGAATGACAGTGAAGAAGTGATAAGAAATGACAGACAAAATATTATTTCTGTTTATTTCAGCAGATAGTGTCAGTAGAACATATTTCTGTGTCAGATGAGCTTTTGTATCTTTGGCTCTGAGATTAGAATGAATATCATTTATTATAACATGCATGCACATTCACAAAAGAACAGCAAATGAAACATGTTGTATGCCTCAGACAGGCATCATGTAATTGTTTGTTGTCCAAACTGAAGACAACAGCACGTCACATTCGACACATATGACACATTCAATTAATGATACAATTTTGTAGTTTACAAAGTAAGTGAAGACATTCTTTAGTATGAAGGTAGCAAATTTAGCTGATGTGCCCTCAAAAGTATGTTTGTGTTTGTGTTTTTGGCCATTTGACATTTGGGTGGATTACACATAAGGAGATGCTTAAACCCTGCCAAAGACCTCATTAAGAGAGAGAGAGTGATCATGTAGCTTTTGGAAGCTTCCATTGATCTTATAATGATGCTGATGAAGAGGGCCAGTCAAGGGTCTGGGTTAATAAACAACCTCTCCATCACTGAAGAAGACTCGCACATCATCCTTGAACCTTCAGCATCAATGGTCAGTAATGTTAATATGTTTTTCATTCAGTTTGTTAGAGGTAGTCCTTTACTCCCAATCATAAAGGTTCTTTATTGTCATTGATGATTCCATGTAGATCTTTCTATTCCACAAAAGGCTCTTTATAGTGAAAAAAGGTTCTTTAGGTTATTAAAATGTTCTTTACACTAAGAAAAAAGTGTTTTTAAAGAACTGTCAGTGCCAATTGTTATTAATAGTGTGTGTGCGCATGTTTGATCTCTTTAGAAGTTCATTGTGTTTCTGAATGGACTCCTGCCTATGGAGCCAGAATGATCTCAATAATAATTCACGCAAAAGACGTGATGCACACATGCGTAACCCAATTCACATGCATGAGAAATAATTCACGTGCACGAAAAAAATATACAGTATATGTTCACAAAAACCAATTCACGTGCACAAAAATAAGAATATATATTCATAAAATACGTTTCACAAATGCAAAACACAATTCACAGATATACAACTGTGTACAAAATTTTTGAATGTTAAAAATTCAGGAGTTTATCATGGGCTGTGAATGTGAATCGCTCTGGATTTGTGTGTGAATTTAGAGACCGTCCTGGCAGCGAACTCCTCCCACGCGGGACACTCGTACTCTTTAGCCAATCAGATTTGAGCCTGTCAGTCGACCAATCATAACCCACTGTGGGTGTATGAATCATAGACATAATAAATACTTATTTATTATGTCTATGGTATGAATCGCGTGCCATGGGCGTGCCTACCTGGAGGCTGACGTCATCAGCGCGAGACCACCGTTCAAGTTAAGAATCAGCAGGTAAGTGCAGTTGATCGTTTTATTTCAGTTAACTAGCCAAGTAAAGGTTTATCGTTTTATTTTTGCATGTTTACTTAAAACTTGGAAGTAAAACTGGTCGTTTAGACACTTAATAATGTGAACAATGTAAGCCAGCGGCTGCTGTTTAGAGTATTATGATTTAATATTGATCAATTCTTATGTTTATTTAATAAAGAATCATTATTCACGTGGATACCGTACCACATTAAGATATTAGATTCAGAAACTCAGTGTAAATCATAAAATAATGTTTTTACTGATGGGACATGTGGTAAATAAATATAAGATTATGAAAATATACTTTTTGTTTATTGAGAATATGAAAGAGCTGTCACAGCAGAGCTTGTCTTGTGTGTAAAGTCCTGTGATGGCTCACATTCAAGTGATGACAATGTGATGACATGCACACATTGGAGACCGTGTACATGTCATTTAAGTTTGTTTATGCTGCAGATACTATTTATTTCAGAATTGTGAGGTTGATGATGTAAAAGTAGCTGCTGAGACTGTTCCTACTTCATCTCATGCCTCAAGTTATAAGCTGATGTGAATCTAGAAGTTTAATTTGGCTCTGTAACTCTTTCAAAACAGTCATGTTGCAACCCATTCTTTTTGACAGTTTCAACAGCTTTTTAATTCATGCATTATTACTAAATTTTTTGTTTGGTTTATAACAGGACCCCATAACTTTGTACATGTTCAAGGTGTAACGCTTTATGCATTGTTAAATGTTCTTGTTATTGTCCTGGTTTTATGTCAGAATTAAAACATTCAAAACAAGTCCGTTGTTACAGTTGCTGTATAAAATTTATTAATTTATTAAAGTTTATTAAAGTTTTCTAAAATGTCCATGAAATGACCTGACCATGATTAATTGCAATGTGCCTGTAACATGAAATATGAATTGACAATTATGGAGTACAAACGTAGCACAGTTGAATATATGTTTCTCACATAGGTCTGCGATTGGCTTGATACCAGTTTGATGCTGTACTAGAAGTTCACCAGTATTTAAACCTCAGTTACATTGAATGGCTGGCATAGCATTCTTTTAAAGTACATTTTATGGCTGAATGCTAATTGTATCAGTGTAATACATCATGTGAAAAGTCAATTAATCAAATGTTTAAGATCCAGTCTTTCACTATCTCTCTCTGTTAGGACGTGCTAGGTTTTAGTCTGATATTCAAAGCAGTTAACACCTTGGCATGTTAACTCTTATATTTTTACCAGAGATGCAGATACAAAAAGAGCAGAAAGCATGAGATAAAGTGATCAAATAACTGAATAAAGATTACTGAATAATCTTTGTTGCATACTTCTTTATGATCAGTCTTTGTCTGACCAGCATAAATTCCACAACTGTTACCAAGCAAAAACGTATTTTATGAATATATATTCTTATTTTTGTGCACGTGAATTGGTTTTTGTGAATATATATTATTTTATTTTTTTTCGTGCACGTGAATTATTTCTCATGCATGTGAATTAGGTTACACATGTGTGCATCGCGTCTTCTGCGTGAATTATTATTGAGATCATTCTGGCTCCATACCTGCTGCTCTTTCTGCTTCATCATTGGACAGAAAGTATGGAAGAACAGAAGATGAACCTTACCACTCTTGCCCAAATAATTGACTTCTTTGAACAGAAGTGAGTATAGTGCATAAAATCAAGATTTTTAAATAGCATTTAACTATATGATGTAGCACAAACAGGAAGTAAAGAAATAAAATGTCATTAGTAAACCGCGTTTAGTCTGCCAGTCATCACAAAACTTTTCTTATCGTGCTCTATTTGATGTTTTACAGCTATAATGATACCAAAGAGGATTCGTATGCTGTTGCCATCAATGTACCGAGGAATCAATGTCAAGGCAACTTTGATCCTTCAAATGAGAACTTCTTGACTCTAGAGAAGAATGCAACATGTGTGAGAAATGCCGTTTATAATAATAATATAAAATCACTTTTACAATGTTACAGACCTCATGGCAGCAGGACCTTGTTCTCGTAATTGCAAAGAAATAGAAAATTGCAAAGGTAAGTCAGTGTCTGTCCTGCTCCAAAATGACTCATGCTTAACCTTTAAAAACTTCTCACAATGTAGAGAAAATGACAGCTGCATTGTTATCTACACCATCTACTCTCCCTGTCAAAAGATGTCAGGTGGCTATGACATTATACCAAACCTTGAAAACTTGAAACATCACACTGGAATTAAAGCCTTTGTCTTCAAGAAAGTCTATGAGGTTGATGAAAATGGCCATAGATGCTCTGATTTTGCAAAAAACTTTAGAGAGATTGTGGTTCATGTTCCCTTCTATCACTTTGTGAATAAAACTGTTCTGCCTATAACAAATAAATGTTAACATGCACCACGTATGAACAAGCTTGTCAAGGAATAAGACTTCACACTCCTGTCCCCATCAAGTATAATGGTCAAGTTCTCAAACATTTAACTTATTACTGTGCTCTAAGAAACTGAAATGCAGCTCATTATGATGATGGTAGTGTCTAAGGTAGCTTAAGTTTTACTAGTGTTACAGGATGCAGACATGAAGAGAAGAGAGAGGGTAAAATATTTAGAAAACTTTTTGAAAGTCATTGTGCTTATACTGCATTAAGATGGCAGCTGTCTCTTAATACTGATATATACTGGCTTACTGCATGATGAAAAATAAATATTTGCTCAGCAATTGTTGTATGGTGGTTTAATTTCAGAATAATTTATGCACAAATGCAAATACACAACCCTTGAAGCAGGTAAATACATTAAGTGTTAAGTGAAGCCTTGTGAATTACAAACTTTTCACATATTATTGTGCACCTTTGAACACAGAATGACAACAGAGCAGCAAAACAAAAGCATTTAAGATGTAATTTCTGTGCTGCAAATGCAAATGAAAGTATGTTAATTTGATATGGCTGTAGATTATCTGTATTATTGTATAAAAGTCACGAGTGATCACACTAAATAAATTAATGGTGTACACCTAATTATTTTTTATAGTTATGACAATATTTACTTGAACAGATCTTTTTATCAGTCCTGCAAGTAATCCAAAGTCAGGATCAAGGTTTTTAAGGAATAGTTCAACCAAAAATAAACTTTCTGTCATAATTGTTGTAAAACATCATTTCTGTAGCATGCTTTTAGTATACTTTTGCTTTTACTGTAACATGCTTTTACTTAGTTACAGCATATGGGAGATTTACAGGGAATAATGTCTTATATTTCAGTCTTATGATACGCCAGTCACTGCTGTCAATTTACTATATGTGGCTCTAGCATGATTCTTTTCTATATCTTCTATAACAGAATCTTAAAGAGTTAGCAGTTTGGTCATAACGAATAAGTCTCAGAGAAATTATATACTCACAATAGTCCACCTGAAGTGAAACCTGTTGCATGCGGTTTTGTTGCTTAATGCACAAGTATATGTTAATAAAAGGTTACTTAGTCTTTCCCAAACACTCATTTCCAAACGCACTATTCAGAAGAGATGACACAGAGAACAATAATATGAGCGGTTAAAAGCAATTCAGATAGTCATGCAAGATTTATCTAGCTCTCTTCAAATAGGACATACTCACATTAGATGGTTCAATGCAAAATTAAATTTACATATACTATTTATTTAGTTAGATGCATTTTCCTATCTGAGGAGAGTCCGTTAAATCAAATTTACATGCAGGTAGGCAGTGTTGGGGAAAGTTGCTTTTAAAAGTAATGCATTACAATATTGTGTTACTTAGTAAAAAAAAGTAATTACGTTACTTAGTTACTTTTTATGGAAATGAATGCATTACTTTACTTTTGTGTTACTTTTTCTCATCTGCCTTTGCCTAATTTTTCTCTCTTCAGAAACAAACAAACAAAAAAAGCAAAACACAAATGTTATGTTTATCTAAAGCCATTTTTGCTTATTATGGTTGATCATCGAAAGTCAGCGGCAAAGATACTGGTTAATAAAATGGAATTAAATACACTCTTAAGAAATATGGTTCTAAACAGTACCAAAAAAGGGTTCTTCGGCTTGTAAAAATAGCAGAACCCTTTTTTTTTTACTAGTACAGTGATTAAATTTTTTTTTTTTTAACAGGAATCCCTGTGAATCCCTGAAACCCTGAAACTTGAGTTCCCTTGAAGAAAGGTCCACATTATTTGCAAAATATCAAACATGTTAACAAAGGGATATTGATAGATCTTCCCCTGCCAAAGACAAGTAGTTTATCTATCCCTTTTTTTTGCATAAGATTTGACACAAGAGCAGAATAAATGTGACGTTTGCTTCTCCAGTTCACTACTCTCACACCAGAGCAGACTTCACACATCATCTTTGAGGAGCTCAATTCACTGCATTTTCTCTAAAATTTAGGACAGTCATCATGGTAAGTGGCATCACTACAATTAATCGTTAGTTGACTGAAATTTTCATTTTACTCTCTTTTTACAATATTATACACTGAAATTTTTTTTTCATTCATCCAATTAAAAAATGTTTAAAAATGTAGGGTTATGATTCACATCTATATTTTTTAACTTGAGCCAATGAAAAATAAATAACTTGCCCTATTGCTGTCAGTTTCTCTTTAAATTCGTTTTGGCTTGTTTAGCCACTTATATTTTTCATTCTTGTTCTGTTCTGAATACCGTTAAATCTAAAGGATTTGTTGTGGAGTGAGGAGAACTACAATAGCCTGTAGGCTAGCTATTGTGTTTATTTACCGCTTTTTTGTTTTATTCCGCTTTATTTACCGGTATTATTTCTGAATGATGCGTTTGTGCTCCCCACCCAATACTGTTGGTTAACAGTTAACCAGTTATGTTTATGCATGTTTGTATTCTTATGCTTCGCTCGACTTGATTACATGTAAATGGCACATGGGTCGCAACAGTTTAGAAAGAAAAAAGGGGGCGCGCTTAAAAAAGTTTAAACCAGTGATATACATTATAGATAAGGCAATGCCTATGCCATCTATTGTGTTATTACAAAGAGCAACCTAAACATACTGGTATCTAAACATAATTTTATAATTGTATGATATAGTAGACCTACCACATGACCCTGTGTCAACTAATGTATAGGCTAATGAGCAGCAATAAACTATATTTTAGCATTTTAGAATGCCTAGTCATAAGTCTGTGGATATTTTGGTGAAAGTAACTCAAAAGTAACTCAAAAGTAGTGTAGCTCGTTACAATTCAGAGACAGTAATATTGTAATGTAACTAATTACTTTCAAAAGACAGTATAGTAATATATAATGTATTACATTTTGGAAGTAACTTGCCCAACACTGATTGTACTTTGTTATTCTTCTTGTTATTCCCTACAGCAACTAATGAACCGGAAGTCTCACACATTCACAGAAAACGGCTTACTTCCGCATTGAAAAATAAGGTGGATAGCACCTTAAAAGATAGGTGCTATATAACACTTAAAGTGGTTCCCCTGTGATTACAAGCCAATAACCACTTTTAGTGCTATTTAACACCATTTTTGTTTAGAGTGTAGTAATTTATACAGCTTTTATTTTCAGAAAAATCTGCCAGTATGACCAATATTTATTTATTTTATGTTTTGATCATTTGTGATTAAAATGCTCATTTGTTTACACTTGGTGACAGTATTATTACTGGTTTCATAAACACTGCTTCAGAAAATAAATAAATTTCTTTGTTTGCACCATACATTCAGTTTTTTATAGTGTACACATACTGGCAGTACCAGCAAGATATTCACACTAGGCACTGTGGGGAGGTGGAACTTATTTGTCTCATAGGTTGTTTTTTAAAAGGGATAGTTCACTCAAAAACCAAAATGTATTACTATGTCATTATTTAATCACCTTGGTGTTTTTCTAAAGCCATGTGACCTTTTTTTTCTCTAAACACAAAAGTCTACATTTTTACATATGGTCCTGCTCAAGCTTGCTCATATGTAATGATGACAGTAAATGGTGACTCTCTTTCCAAGCTTTAAAACAGGATGCAAAAGTATCATCAAATGGTCCCATGTGTCACGCGTCCCGTTGAGTTCCTGTTTTCCTTATTTGGTCCTACCTGTTCCTGTCCCAATGTAGTTTGATTTGTTCCAGGTGTGTCTCATTATTAGTTATCCTCCTCACCTGTCTGCCCCTCGTTATCTGCCCTATTTACCACAGTATTCACAGTAGCAACCCGTGACAGAATTCCAGATCATTTAAAGGGGTCATATGATGCTGCTAAAAAGAACATTATTTTGTGTATTTGGTGTAATGAAATGTGTTTATGTGGTTTAAGGTAAAAAAAACACATTATTTTCCACATACTGTACATTATTGTTTCTCCTATATGCCCCGCCTTTCTGAAACGCGTAGATTTTTACAAAGCTCATCGGTCTGAAAAGCAAGGTGTGCTGTGATTGGCCAGCTATCCAGTGCGTTGTGATTGGCCAAATACCTCAAGCGTGTGACAGAAATGTTATGTCCCTTACCATATTGTGATGATGCCCTGTCCGGCCGGAGCGACGATTCAAAAACATGAAAACCCATTATAAACGAGGCATTCGTTGCATCCAGTGGGGACATAATTATGGATTATAATGACTTATACTGTCTTCTTATACTGTCGTTGCATCGCGCCACGTAAACATAAAACCATGTCTGCATTTGTGATCGGAGCCAGGCATGACGAAGCAGATATCGTCCTCTTTTGGAAGGCCAAACAGAGTAGTTTCGCTTTCACAACAAATCACACAGTGCCTTCACGACATGGCGGCGGCAACAACAATACTATAGTGAGAATAAAAGTTACGCCTTTTTTCTTTGAGGGAACATTTGGGCGGCGTCATGCAAATCTTCCCACATAGTGATGTAGACATGTGGGGGCGTGTTAGAACCAGCCGTTTTAGGTAGGCGTGGCTGACTCTTAACTTTTATAAAGAATATCTCTTTGGATTTGAGACTTTAGTCTTTGCAACTTTACAGATCTTCTTTATGCACCAAGAGCTTGTAACACTCGAAAGAGAAAGGAAAAATTGAAATCGCATCATATGACCCCTTTAAACGAAAGTAAGCGGCGCCTTTTTTTATCCCCGTTTGTTTTCCGTTTTTCCTGTTTGTTTCTCCCTGCTACAATGGAGGTTCCCCGCCTTGGCTCATACGGATCCTGACCCGATTGTTTTCGCGAGGGCGTTCGTGCCGCTCGCCCTCGCCAGCTCCCTCGAGTGGGAAAGCTGTTTCGGATCGGGATAACTTACCATTGCCCCGCGGAGCTCCCAGACACCACCAACCTCGGATGGAAGGAGGCAGTCATCCGGTGTCTGGAGAGTCTCCGATCCCGATCCGCGACCCATCTGCCGGCAGTTCCCGAGTCAAGTCAGCCGGCTGTTAATGTGGCAAGCCCCGAGTTAATCCCAGGGAGGGCTCCTGTTTCCCCGTTAAGCCCAGGGAGGGCTCCTGTTTCCCCGTTAAGCCCAGGGAGGGCTCCTGATGCCGAGTTAAGCCCAGGAAGGGCTCCTGATCCCCAGTTCAGCCCAGGAAGGGCTCCTGATCCTGAGTATAGCCCACGGAGGGCTCCTGATCCCGAGTTAGGCCCAGGGAGGGCTCCTGTTTCCCCGTTAGGCCCAGGGAGGGCTCCTGTTTCCCCGTTAAGCCCAGGGAGGGCTCCTGATGCCGAGTTAAGCCCAGGAAGGGCTCCTGATCCCCAGTTCAGCCCAGGAAGGGCTCCTGATCCTGAGTATAGCCCACGGAGGGCTCCTGATCCCGAGTTAAGGCCAGGGAGGGCTCCTGTTTCCCCGTTAAGCCCACGGAGGGCTCCTGATCCCGAGTTAGGCCCAGGGAGGGCTCCTGTTTCCCCGTTAGGCCCAGGGAGGGCTCCTGTTTCCCCGTTAGGCCCAGGGAGGGCTCCTGTTTCCCCGTTAAGCCCAGGGAGGGCTCCTGATCCCCAGTTCAGCCCAGTGAGGGTTCCTGTTCCCGAGTATAGCCCACGGAGGGCTCCAGATTCCCAGTTAAGCCCAGGGAGGGCTCCTGTTCCCCCGTTAAGCTCCGGGAGGGTACCTGATCCCCAGTCAAGCCCAAGAAGGGCTCCTGATCCTCAGTCAAGCCCAGGAAGGGCTCCTGGTCCCCAGTCAAGCCCAGGGAGGGCTCCTGGTCCCCAGTCAAGCCCAGGGAGGGTTCCTGATCCCCAGACAAGCCCAGGGAGGGTTCCTGATCCCCAGTCCAGTCCCGTGGGGGCTCCTGATCCCCAGTCCAGCCCAGGGAGGGCTCCTGATCCCCAGTCCAGCCCAGGGAGGGCTCCTGATCCCCAGTCCAGCCCAGGG